GGGCTCCCACCCAGAACTGGAGCAGCGTCGCGGCAGCCCGACTGAACCTCTGTGTGTATATATGCCTGCCCAGGGAGACATGGACAACTGTTTCGTCGCGGCGACGCTGACCGGGGTGGACCGACGTTCCCTGCAGCGCTCAGCTAGGCTGGGTCAAGAAGTGCTGGAGCGGGCCAAGAGGCGGGCGGTGGACTGGCATTCACACGAGCACCCCAAAGGCAGCTTGGGGATTCTTTCCCGGGAGGGGTCCTACCAAGAAAGACTACTGGCAGCGGGCCCCCAGCCTTTTCTTCCTGTAGAGGTGAGGACCTGGTGCTGGGCGACCAGCCAGTGATTCTATAGGCGGTGGCCTGCTGGCATCCATGGGCACACCCCTCAGAAGGCCCTGAGGGATTCTGCCCTTGTCGGAAAGATGGAAACTATCAGGACAATGAATGGAAAAATCCTTTGAAAAGTCTCCTTTTGACAGATTCTTGTTGGGTAGTTGTAGAACAATGATAGTGCTTGGCCATGGTTGATTAAACAAACAAAAAATTCTCACATAGACACTATATGATATTAGAGGAAAGATAGCAAACTTATTTTTTTAGATCCTGAATAAATTGCATTTCTATTTTATTGAGTTGAAATTCTTTCTCAGTAAGATCCTTCTTACTGATTTCCAAAAATGAAAAGACTATTTCCAAAATGGTTTCATTTTGTATCAGGGAATCCTAGGCCTCACTTGTGACTTGCCATTTATTCAAATAGAGAGAAGAAAGGCACCCAACCCTTAGTGCATCCTTCAGAACAATGGCTGAATTCATGGACTATACTTCAAGTCAGTGTGGGGTAAGTTGATGTGAACCAAAGCCATGCCCCTGATCATCAATGGATGATCACAATGTGGATGTTTCTGGAATTTAGGGAGACTCGGATACTCCTGAATCTTCTGTTCACCAGGCATTCACCCAAGTTAGAAGTCATCCAACAAATATTTATTGAATTCCTAACTCTAATTGTTGAGGATACAATAGTGAATAAACTAGAAAAAGGTCTCTGCCCTCATTGAGTTTTCAGTCTAGTGTGTATGGGAATATCTGTTGGATTCTAAAACAGGTCAAATTACAGGATGTTGCTGTTGTTTTTCAATATTGAACTGAAGATTAAAAAAAAAATAGGATCACTCTAAACTGTAACTGGGCCTCTTTTTTCAGTTTTCATTGAAATATTATGGACACAAGCCTGTAACTCAAATACTCTGTAATCCCAGCTATTTGGGAGGCTGATGCAGGAGAATTGCAATTTGGATGCCAGCCTGGGGAGCTTAGTGAGACCCTGTCTCAAAAATAAAAAAGGACTGGGGGTATAGCTCAGAAGTTACAATCCCCAGTATCACATACACACAACAGCAAAACATGTTGAAACACAAACTGAAACACAGTTGCATTAGATCTTAACCTGTAATGTTTGTTTCAAATCCCTGGTGATCAGACTTTATGTCCCAGTGGGTCCATAAGCAGTTGTTGGTGATAAAAGTGGTTATATAGGACAGATGGAATTTCCTGGTCAGGGGTGTATGATTTAGTGTCAGGAACTACTTCCCAAGAATCATACCCATGTTCTACCACTTTGGCCAGTTAGTCTCTCTCAGTCTTTCCTAAACATATGACAAGAACAATGATACGCTGGAGAAAGTACTTCAGGACCTGAAGCTATTTTAGTTTCCCATCATGATATTAAGAATTCTAAAATCCTTTCCAGCCTTTACAGTTTATTTCTTTGGTTTCCACTGAGAGGAACAGCAGCAAATTTATCACAAACTCTAGGATGCAGGATTTAGGTGAAGTTTTGGTACCATTCATTGAAATGAGTGAACAAATGTTTTAAAGTCCCTGATCTGGGGCTGGGGTTGTGGCTCAGTGGTAGAGCACTTGCCTAGCATGTGTGAGGCACTGGATTTGATTCTTAGCACCACATAGAAATAAATGAATAAAATAAGGGTCAATCATCAACTAAAAGTAATTTTTTTTTTTTTAAGTTCCTCTTCTGAAACTCATGCACTTAGGCCATTTTAAAAGTACTTTTTAGGGACTATTGAAGGCAGGCTAGCCAACATTGAGGGAAATCACCTGCAAGGAAGGTACTCTCTATCTTCTTGGATTAACACCAAACTCTACTTTCTTCTAGCCTTAACATTTTATGAATCTTTTTTGACTCTGAGGATACTTATCTGTAAGGGAAAAGGAAGAGGATTCCTTGTTTTATTGCTTTTTTCATTTCATATGTTAAGAGAGAGAGAATTTTTTTTTAATATTTATTTATTTATTTTTAGTTCTCGGCGGACACAACATCTTTGTTGGTATGTGGTGCTGAGGATTGAACCCGGGCCGCACGCATGCCAGTCAAGCTCGCTACCGCTTGAGCCACATCTCCAGCCCCAATCATTTCATATGTTAAGATTAAAAAAAAATAAACTCTTAATCTTTCTACACCTTTTATAAAAATCATTGTGGAGGCTGGGGTTGTGGCTCACCTAGCACGTGCGAGGCGCTGGTTCGATCCTCAGCACCACATAAAAATAAATAAATAAAATAAAGGTATTGTGTCCAACTGCAACTAAAAGTATTAAAAAAAAAAAATCATTGTGATCAGAATAAGTATTCCAACCAATGTGATGTTACTCAGTATATTTTCATGTTCTCATTTGTACTGAAGTGGTTGTAGAAAAATCCATAACTTTTTAGCTCGATTGTGAAGTGATAAATGCTTGCCTTCATGGTTTGATAAAAAGAATACAATTTGTCTTTGGTTTGAGGTTTAGCAAATTGGTATTTTTCATATTGGTTTTCAGTTCATGGTTCAGTTCAAATCTGTTTAGAATGGGTCCAACAGAACCCTTTGATTTTCTAGAGGTGTAGGATAGTATTATGCGTATGCCTCCACAATTTTGAAGCAGCCCCTACAAGGTATTAGATCCATGTTCTGAGTGCTTTACCTGGCTTATTCTTCTAGTAATGTGCTTTGGATACTGTCCCTACAGTGTGTTCAAAACAAGTAGGCTTGTGATGTCTTCATCATTAGTCATAATCAAGGGCAAATCTGAGGTTAACTTTGAGGGAGGGAAGTAAATAGACAAGAAAAATGTAACTGTTTTCAGATCCTTTGGATTATTATTAAACTGGAGACCTCTCCTTCCACTCCCCTGCATGGGAACCCTAAGGAGAAAGGTTGTATAGCTCTTGGGTTTATGTTTCATTTCCTGCTATATTTCTAAATCTCAAGCAAATGTACCCTTCTTTTCCCATGTCCTTATCTAAGACTTAGTAAATGGGGAACTGTTCATCAGAACTTGTCAGGGGAGGAAAGGAAAGGGCATGTGATGAACTTGTCAGGGGAGGAAAGGAAAGGGCATGTGATGAACTTGTTAGGGGAGGAAAGGAAAGGGCATGTGTATTTGACATTGAGGCAAAGATGGGAAAAATTATTTAACCTGCAGAGAACATGGTCCTACCCAACTTTAATTGGCCAGAGTTCTTGCTCTACTGAGGCAGCAGATGGCAGCAAAGTAATGCCAAATGCAGTTTTCTTCTCTGTAGCCACTTTACATGGCCTAAGGCTTCAGAGGCCTCTCAAAAACAGGTGATTTACTTTTGCTCTCTTGCCTTCCTCCTTAACCATACTTTGCCCAAGCATTGGAGGTTTTATTTATTTATTTACTGAAAAATTGACCAGACTATTTAATTACCCAACATCTTTCACATTACTTCTCTAGAAATATTATTCATCTGTGGCAGAGGAAGGAGGGGCAACCCATGTCTATCGTTATCACAGAGGGAAGTCGGAGCTAGACATGTACTCTTACAGAAGGCATGGTCAGGTATGTGTCTTCAAAACTGTCCTGAATATGCTCTCAGTCTCTGAAGATGTGCGACCTGTTTGGGGGAGTTCCTACTAAACTCTTATTATTGGATGCCTGTGTGACTCAGCATTATAGTGCTCAACAGAAAAATATCAACTTACAGCCTTAGAGAACTTACAGTGTTGAGCATGAAATAGGAATTTGTCTAATCCAAAAGACTGATTTCACTGTAGGCTTTTTAGTTGAACCAGCAATACTGGGCTGGGGGATTGCTGAATATGCTTAAAGAAAAGAGCTTCACATGTCCTTTTCTGCATCAAGGGATAGAAAAGATATTTTTAATAATTACATATCTTATTAAGATAATGATAGTTATGTTTTTGGTAATTTTTTAAAAGGAAGTGCAGCCAGGTTCTTTGGCTCACACCTGTAATCTCAGTGACTCAGGAGGCTGAGGCAGGAAGATCACAAGTTTGAGGCCAGTCTCCTGAACTTAGGGAGACCTTGTCTTAAAATAAAAAAACAAAAAGGGCTGGGAATATAGCTCAGTGTTACAGTGCCCCTGGATTCAATCCCTGTGTCTCTCCTACCTCCCTCGACCAAAAAAAAAAAAAAAAGTGTAAGGGAACAGGGGTCTGAAAATCCTTTTTTGTTTTGTTTTGTTTTTAAGACAGGGTCTCCCTATGTTGTGCATGCTGGTCTTGAATTCCTGGGTTCAAGTGATACTTTTTCTAAAGATAGTAACAGTTTCAGGCCTCTCACTCACTACCGACCCTTTTACATGTCAAATTTTGGGGAAGCCAAATGTTCTACTTGTTAAATGGGAGGTGGTGGTGGTAGTTTTCAAGGGGGGAATAGGCATTTTGTTTTTCTTGAATTCCTCTAGTTGTACCCAAAAAATGTTAAGTCTGATCCTAATCCTCATGTCAGATCCTGACTTCTCTGGCATGTGGGTCACCTTGGGGTATCAGAGCAAAGAGTTTTAGGAAAACTATAGGCAGTGAGCACAGGGATATGAAGCAGGGCTGAGCACAGACTGGAAGCATCTTGTTTTTTCCTGGGATTTGGAGAGCTGTAGGAGTTTGCATCCTGGATTCCCTTTGGGGGCCTCATCAGAGCACCTTAAGTGCACCTGACCTTTAGTTGTTACCTGTTGGGTAGTCATTTCTCTATATATGTAAAATTTAAGTTGTAATTCTAAGGGAATTGGCTGTGTCAGTCTGTTCCCTTCTAGTACCCACACTCCTAGAAGCACAGAAGAGAATACTTTCTGAGCACTGGCTGAGTGTTATCACTTGTGCACTTTCAGTCCTCCCTAAAATCCAAATAGCCCCATGTTTTAGTCTAGGAAACTAAAGCTTATTAAAAGAGGTTTATCTATCTGACTTAGTAAATAGCTGGAAATAGTATTTAAATTCAGGCCTTTCTGACTCCAAAGCCCATATAAGGATAAAAAGTAATCATGGTAAGCATCTGACTAAAAATAACTCAGGCTTCACTAAAAAGAGCCTTAATAACTTAAATGATAACTTAGAAAAAGTGTACAGAAGAATTCTTCTAATAAGGCAGGAGAAAATTTCTCTTTATAATACAGAAGTCAAAGTTTGGGCACTGATCAATATTTGTCTCTTCAGAAAAATGACAGAGAAAAGACATCCTTCAGTTCAGGAAGCATCTATGAAACATTAGCACATGCTTCAGAGTCATCCCAGCCGGTGAGTACAGAGCTGCTAGTGTGCTGCGCTTCACAACCATTACAATTCCATGAACCATTTGACCTGTTAACTATAGGGCTGTTTGTATTGAATCTGTAGTATTTTCAAGTTGTGATGATTTTACACTCAAGGAAGGTGAACAAAATTTTGGTTCAGTGTAAAGTTGTGTTTTATTGGTATCTTTCTTTCAAAATTTCAGACATGCTTTTTGTGCCTGAATTCATAGCTGTGGTTGGAAAGAATGTGAAGTATTCGCATCTCCTTTCCTAAGGCTCAGCTGGGCTGGCACTGGGTTCTGCTGGAATTTCACCATCTGTTCAAGCAGCAGGAGGGCCTGACCTTGCTTGCTTTTATAAAGTGCAACTGTTGCTAAAACTCTGAAACATATACATTTGGTGAGATATCAGGTTCCAAAACATTTAAAAGCATGTTTCCATTTTCCATTTTCTCTAAAAAATGTATAATGATGAGTTTTTCATTTTTAGGGTAAATTACTCATTAGTGGGCTGGGGATGTGGCTCAAGCGGTAGCACCATCGCCTGGCATGCGGGCCCCGGTTCGATCCTCAGCACCACATACAAAGATGTTGTATCTGCCGAAAACTAAAAAATAAATATTTAAAAAAAAATTACTCATTAGTTTATGAGCCTCAAAGAATCTTTTGGAACTTGGAAGGGCTGGAATTCTGAGGAAAGGAACTTCAGCATGTTGCTACAATAAATTTCTTTTTTTTTATATTCAGTTTGCTGGGAGCCATGATTTGGAACATATTAGCATTGGTAGCAACTAAGAATATTCTGTTTCTAGTACATATATAAATCATTAGGCTTAAATGCCTCCATCATTGCTGATTTTAGGTGATGCTAATCTTCCTGATGTTCCTTAGTGTTGGAGTCACAGATATAGTCTTACCCCAGTGTTAATCTTAATTACAGACATTTTTTTTTTTACTTTTTTGCAATTCTGATGCAGCTGTTTTCTGAAACCTTTTATTTATATTTGACAACTGGTAAATAATTGGACATTGTCATATATATTCACATTTGTTAAATAATAGACCTCCAGTTTTGTAGTAACTGGGAATATAAGGATATAACATAAAACAACTTTTGTAAAGTCAGCTTAAAATCTATCTGAAGGCCAAGGCAGGGAGAGTTTCATAAATATTATTTATTCTTGCTGGTGGATTTGTTGGCCAGTGGTTTCATTTTTCTTGGTGTGTCTCCTTCTGAATATTCACCAAACATAAATGAGCATCACAGCTGACACTTTGCTGTTACTGGCTCTTTTCTGGTTTGTGACTTCTATCTTTTTGCCTTCTTTACTGAAAACATTTTCTGCCTGCACACCTGCCATGATCCACTTCCCAACCATGTATGAAGTTTATTTCATAAAATGATTTGCACTCAGATCAGCTATAAACTCATTAACTCCAGCTTCCAGTGTAGAACCATTCCTCCAGCTACTTGCTGCTTCAGTGACAAAATGACATCCATTCATATTGTTTTTAGCTTTAGGAGAAAAGAAGTGCTTCATCTTCTTGATAACAAACTTAGCAAAACACAATAAAAAAAATGTTTCCCATTATCCTAGGGACCTTGTCATTACTGTCAATCTCTGCTCACAAGTGCAAAACAAAGACCATTAGTCTGTCCCTCTGCCTAATTCTTACCCCAGCCAGAGGGTTCTTTTGTAAACCTTCATGTTTCTATAACACTTTAACATTTACAAAGTGTTTTCTGCTTATTTGTGAGGTGGATATTATCACAAATTTAGAAATAAGGAAACAAGCTTAAGGAAAGGCTGAGGTTTATCTAAATGACATTGCTATTGTATGACCAAACTGAGCCATGAAAACAGAACCTCTGTCTCCTCCAGAGTCCTTTATTCCATCATACCTCTGGCACAAAGGTAGCCTAGTGGAGGTGCTGTGTTGGCATTGAGATATAAATTCTTTATGGTGTCTTCTTTTCCTTTTAGGCTGAGAACATCTCAAAGGACCTCTACATAGAAGTATATCCAGGGACCTATTCTGTAACTGTGGGCTCAACTGCCTTGACCAAGAAGACTCATGTAGTAGCAGTTGATTCAGGACAAAGTGTGGACTTGGTCTTCCCTGTATGATGTTGGCTTTCACTGCTATCACATCACTCTTTTTTAAGTTGCAAGGAGAATAAAGTCACCATATGATTTTCTTAATAACTACACATTAATCCTGCTTTTAGTGCTGACTGTAGAGGCCAGCCTTCTTGGGAACTGGAATCTGTCTCTTTCAGTCCCATTTTAACTTGAGAGTCCCCCATCCTCCTTTGCCTAAAAGTAATAATGTGATGATGCTGTCTGAACAGTTTTTACTACTAGCTTTCCAAGTAAAGTCTAATTATGATAATAAAGGGAAAGGTTTGGAAACAGAGAATTCATTTTATTGCTATTAAAAAGAGGTCAATGTTCCCCATGTACAACTGTAGGTTTTATGAAAAGACAGCAGAGATGCTGAGGAGATATTTGCCCAAAGCAGGTCTACTATGGGTCTTCCAAAGTGGCCTCTGTGGAAGTGGCATTCTCAAGCAGTGCCACCAGACAGAGCCACTGGCTCCTGTGCCCCTTATGAGTGGTGCCTTCCTGCTGCTCATCTGCAGGGAAGTCTTAATGGGGTGAAGATGCTACTGCTTACTTGATTCTCACCTGCAGCCTGTGTTCTACCTTCCATTGAAGAAGGTCTTGTCAGCCACTCTTTATAACTCTTTGTTAGGTATTTACCATCATAATCCTTTGATTTTCTGTTAAAGAGAAAAAGAGAAAGAAAAATCCTGAGTCTCATGCTAAAATTCTAAGGATCAAGGGCTGGGGTTGTAATACAGTGGTAGAGCACTTTCTTTGCACACATGAGGCACTGGATTCAAACCTCAGCACCACATAAAAATAAAAATAAAGCTATTGTGTACATCTACAACTAAAAAAAAATATTTTTTAAAATATTTTAAAAATTTTAAGAATCAAAAATCACTGGATTTAAATCCAAGAATCATTTAGATTCAAATTTTTAAAAAGTATTGATATAAGACTTTAATCTATCACACCAACAGCCTATTGAATTATATCATTTTGAACATAGCTAATCTTTCCTCAGGAAAAATGCTACATATTATCTGACTATTTTTAAAAATAAAGTTTTAAATAGATTTATAATAGCATTCCTGCAAGGAAAGAAGGCCTACTAAAGCAGACCTGTGTCTAATGTCATGGGACAGCATTATTTAAATGGAGAGCCTTCCTTGTATTTCCCCTCCCACAAGAAACTGATGATGAGTTTCATGGTTTCTATAAGCGGAAATTATATACAAAATTATGAATACAATTTTCTGGAAAAGGGAGCCCTGGGTTTTATAACTCACACAGTGATTGTGACTCCAGATAGATTGAACTATGTAAGAGCCCCTGAAATGACCCTTCTCAGCCATTCTGCTTTACCTAGACCCCCCAGGGCTTTTAGTTTGAATTCTTGGGAATTCTTGTCCCTTGGATGTGTCCCTGACTTAGTTTTCTATGTTCAGCTTCCTCTGGCGGGGTCTGCAGTGGCTTCACATTGGTTGCTTTCAGGGTCAGCTCCTTGGTAGTCCCCACTACTGCAGTTTGTACTCTCTGCTGTTTGTTGTCCTTCTCTTCTTTCCAGATGTTGCAACCTCTTGTTCCTAAATCCAAAATAATTAGATATGGTGAATATGTTACAATTTTGATGAGATTGGTCTTTATGAAAAGTGGAACTACATTAAGGGTCACTGAACTTAAGCATCTGTAAGCTGCTAGTATTGTACTGTATCTTTAAAGAGAAATAAACTTTGTTAATCATTTCTGGCCATTATTTTTTTGGGAAAGGTCATTATCTAATACCCAAATTTGGAGTTGGGAGGGAAGAAGTTATCAGAGTTTTTTTAAACAGCCAATAGAGGAAACAAATTAACCAGTTGCCTCTAATTGAAGAAGCTTCTACTCCTTCACTAATCAATAACATTGATTACAAAGGAAAGATAGTAGGCTGATGGTTTTAAAAAACAAGTTTTAAGAAGTTGAATAATGGGTTGGGGTAGTGGCTCAATGGTAGAGTGCTTGCCTAGCACATGTGAGGCACTGGGTTCAATTCTCAGCACCACATAAATAAATAAAGGTATTGTGTTCATCGACAATTTATAAAAAAAAAAAAGTTAAATGAGACAAAAATATGGGACATCTGTGGAACAGAAGAACAATCTAAAAAGGGAGGAATACTTAAATTTTTTAATATTGCAGATTGAATCCTGTTTCAGCCTTAAGGGAAGCGAGCACCATGAGGGTTGGCAACCCACAATCTGCCTCCCTAGGATTTCTGGGATCAGTGAGTGACCTCTTGCTGCCTATGCTGAAAGAAACTAAGAGGTTTCATAAGAGGCAGAACTGAAGACCATCAAGCTTTAGTATTTGACCACACTGAGATCAAATACTGTCAGATCAAAAACTGTCAGATCAAGTACTGATATCTAGTACTGATTAAATACCAATCATTTAGGAGAAGCAAAGCAGCACATTTTCTTTAAAGGAAACAAAGTCTGGAGGGGAGAATAAAGCTGTAATTTGTCATTGTTTCCAGCCGTGGTCCATACATGGTTTGATACTCTTCAACTTTTCTACTTAGCTGACAGTCAATATTGCATCTGTGACAAGGGCTGAGGATGGCCCCCTTCTCCAGGCCCCATCTGAGGCCTGCTGTCCAAAGATTAGGGAACATGCCTGATGATGCTCAGGGTTCAGACCTGGAATTAACTTTCCCTGAGGCATAGCAAAAGAAACAGTACTTAAAAAGATAGTATATTTATCTTCTTTAGAGTCAATTATTAGAATTGGGGGGTAATGGATTGAATCTGTTTAAAGTGGGGAGAGAGACTAAATATAGGTTTTAAGTGACTTTGGGCAGTGGAGATAAGAGTGGTGAATGTGTAGAGCCAGGGGAAATTTGGATTTTAATTTGGAACCATTCCAGAGATGCCATGGAGCAAGCCACAGCTGCAGAATGCAGACATGGTAACTGGGGCCTGACTACCATGTAGCCTCTGGTTGCCCTTTTATTGTTCCCTTCTCTTTTGCTAGGCCTGGTGCTATCTCAATTGTTCCCATCAACTTTTCTGTTGGATAAGTACAGATTTTGTTTCTCTAGGCTGTGCTGAAGCAAGAGACAGTAGAAGCTATGGAAAAGTTTGTACGAAAACAACTTTGGCACCATTCTTTTTATGTTATCACTCATTGGGAGGGCAGATCTTAGAAAGAGCTGTTTCCAAGTATCTGTTGCCAAGGCTTACCATTGTGAGAAGAGTGATCTATTTCATAGAAGTTCAAGGCCTTTCCCCTCCACCTTATATTTTCAATACACAGTTTCCTCTTGGAGAGAGGAGGAAGATCTCAGCTGATCATAAGTGAATTGTTATGCTTCTGTTTCCCTATCAGAGGTGGGGAAAAGATCCCACACCTTCGAAATCTGAAAAAGCTGCAGCCCTCATAAAATACAACTACACCTGACTGATATACACTCCCACCTATGCCAAAAACCAGGGGTTCAGAGGAGTCACCCAAGAAAGTTTCTTTTTGAAAAAATAATTTCTCAACTTTCTGGAGGTAAAAACTTATAAAGCCCTTACCCCTGGGGCAAGAGTGACATCCTCATGGGCTGAGCAGTCCTTCTAGCTGAGCTATCCTAGAAATAAGGCAATGGCTCCAAATAAGGACTCCCTGTGGATCCCATTGTGGGCAGTGGCTAGAGACCCCTAAGCCCTTAGCAGTGATGTTCTTTAGTGCTCACAGTATGCCTGCCCCAGATGCCTCTGCAATGAACATTAAATCAGTATCTCCAGGGCTCCAAGAATCTAGCCTAAGGCTGGGCTTATCCAGGCCCCCTTCTTCACACAGCTCTGCCAATTGACCTAGGCTTCTGATCTTTCTAGGCCCTACTAGGAATTTAGATAGAATGGGTCTGGAGCAGATTAATAATATGCTGCTTCTCAAACCCATCAAGCCATGTCATAGTCCTCAGTTCGAAGTAAAGAAGCTTGGGAATGGCGGCATGACAATTTAACATGGTTTCCTCTATTAGTTGTAAAGAATTGGATGAGGTAGTGCTTTGTCCTTCCCATTTTGACTTACTATGGGGCTCATCTGGAGAATGTGGCCTGATGACCAATGTTTTTAAGGACCTATTTTTATGCTTCTCATGGCCTCAACTCAAATCTCAACACCTGGAGGCATTTTTAACTGTTCAACTAGAGAAAAATCAAGGCCTCCAGGGGAAAAAAAGGAGGGAGCAAACATGGACAATGGCAGTTTCCTCTCAAAAGAGATTGGTAAAGAAAGAAAAAAATATCAAAACTTAGCACAAAAGATAGCCCATCCTTCCTCTCTCAGTTTAAATGGAACCCTATAACTTCTCTCTTCTCTTAGTCTCCCCTTCCACTTGGCTGGTCTCCAAAGTATTACTCCCAAGCCCAACAGAGTGGACAGGTGCATCCAATTGCTAAGACACACAGGGATGGGGAGCCCTAGACCTATCTTGGAAGATAACGCAGTGCCTTTGGTTTACCTGGTTTCCCAGGACGTGGTTCAGATGCATTCCTCCTCCAATACCTCCACTCAGGCTGGCAGGGGCCACTCTGCCTCCAACACTTCTCAGGAAGGATGGGGTCAGTGTTGACTGCGCTGTTCACCATCAGTCTCTGGGGAAGGCCCATCTCCAGCTCATTCTCTGACTCTTCACAAGAAGAAGAAGAGGAGGAAGAAACAGCCATGGGAGCATGTACTGCTACTGCCTCCTCTTTAGAACCCTCCAGAGGCAAAAGTTGTGCTGTGGGCTTCAGTCCTGACTCCAGGAATTCCCTGGCTGTGATCTCTGAAGTCCTAGTTAGAGGCCACCAGGTGGGGCCCATCAAGGAACAGCAGCAGAAGCAGCCCTGGCACAGCAGCTGGCAGCAGGCATGGGGTTGGCAGGGAGGGCACAGGAAAGGAGCATCCAGAGGAGGCAGGTTGGTGGTGCATCCAGTGACTGGCCCCAACAGAGAGCAGCAAGGGGCCCAGAGGAGGGGACTGAGGTCCTCCCTGGTGCAAGGCCAGTGCAGCCTCTCCACAGCCTTCTTCCAGGCAGCAGGGGGCACCCACCTGACCCCACCTTGAGGCACTTTAGCTGTCTTGCCATTCCAGAAGTGAACAGTGATTTCTTCCTTTGATGCTAAATAACAGAAAAAAGCAACATTTTGTTACAATTACCTCTTCTTTGGGTTAGAATAATAAGAGTTCTCCCATCCACAAAGGCAAAGCCTCAGCTGAATTCTCTGCTCTGTTGTCTGGATCCTCACACACCCTTCTCTGAGATCCTGTACAAGTGTTGGCGCCTGAGAAAGCTGCAGCCCTCATAAAATACAACCTCAGCTGACTGACATACACTCCCACCCATGCCAAAAACCAGGGTTCAGAGGAGTCACTCAAGAAAGCTTCTCTTTGAAAAAATAATTTCTCAACTTTCTGGGGGTAAAAACTTATAAAGCCCTTACCCGTGAGGCAAGAGTGACATCCTCATGGGCCACTGATCACCACTTCCTTATAGACTTGTGGGCTTCAGTCCTAGACCCTAGAGGACCTGGTGAGGGATGAATGGTGACTCCTGGTGTGAATCCAGGATAATTCCACCACACTGTGGTTCAGCTAATGGTAGTTGGGAGTTATTTTCCTTAAAATATGAAAGTTATGAACATGCATCTGTTGCTACCCCCAAGTTAAGCAGCAAGTGATGGCATAAAGATTCTTTTTTAAAAAATATTTTTTAGTTGTAGTTGGATACCATACCTTTATTTTATTTATTTATTTTTATGTGGTGCTGAGAATCGAACCCAGTGCTTCACACATGCTAGGCGAGTACTCTACTGCTGAGCCCCAGCCCCAGCCCCAAGATTCTTTCTTTAATGGCTTTCAGTCTATATGCTCTGGCTTTATCCCCAGCCTGGCTCCTTCTGGGGACTGATGGGTCAGAGAAGCTTCCCTTACCTCTCTGAGGATCTTTTGTCTCCAAGCCTAAGAGAACAGTGCCAGGACCATACCGCTGTCGGTCTGCCTCCCAGGGTGCCAGCACCTTGTCCCCAGGTTGCAGTGAATAGTCTCTGGATGGTGAGAGTTGAATGACATCTTCTTCTAAGACCACACTCTGCTTCTGGGGTGGCAGGTTTGGGCACATTACAAGGGGAACTTCATATTCCACAAGCAGGATCCCCTGCTTTTCTAGCTATGGGAAAGACAACAGAGTAAGATTTCGCATTAGAAAGTACAATAGGGAGCACCCAGATTCCCTACAATGACCCAGAACCAGGCCAAGGTTCTTCCTTACCAAGAGTAAGGACCCTTCAAATAAAGGTCAGGACTGGGGCAGTGCTGCTTAGAAATGAAAGAAGTGGAGACAGGGAGGGTAATGGGACTATTGTTCTCTCTACTTCCTGCAATGGGCAACCCTTATTTATTATCACATTCTGTCTTTCTCATTCTGTTCTCTTATTGGTCTACAATTCCCAGGAGTAACCTGGGTTCTCTGGACTTTTCTCTCCTTCCAATACTGCCAAATGTGTTCCAGAGTCTAAAACCAACTGGGGATAGTTCATCATTGATTTATGAGGCCCACATGGGCTAGGTGTGATTGTGGCCAGAGGGCAGTCCCCAACCTGCCAGCAGCAGGAGGGAAGGTTTAAGTAAATAAATAGTATACAACAGAAAAAGTACTTCAGCTAATTCAAAATAGAAGTTGGTTTGAGTACTCAATATGATTTTGAAGAGAAAATCAAGTTATAAATAATTTTAAACCAATCACAAAACAGGACCTGTTTAGTAGCAAAATTCTGCTAACATTTATTTGAATTGATCTACTAGTTGCTTGAAAATAGTAAAATGACTTCTGATTGGAAATCCTATAATTCATATTTTTTGAGAATTCACATTATCCTCCTTTCATCAATTTACAAAGTCTGACTTTGAAAAGTCCCAAAGAGGTAAGAAGCCCCTGAAGTAAAGTCCAGATCAGGTTCCTAGTGTGCCAGGAATGAGCCTCTGTGTGCAGGAACAGGAACCCACATGTGCCTGTTTTTCTCTAGGCAAGTGCCAACAATTCAATACACTGATTTTCCTGAGCAAAGTACTTTAAATGTACATTTTCTTTACTGTTATGTGTTGAATTGTGTTTCCCTTTCTCCAAAATTCATATGTTTAAGTCCAAGCCCCTACCATCACATAATATGACTTTTTTGGGGAAGGGATATAATTATTGCAGGTTAAAATTAGTTAAGATGAGGTCATAATGATCATGGAAGGTCCCCAACCAATGTGACTGATGTTCTTATAAAAGAGGGAAATTTGGACAGAAACATGCTCAGGGAAAGCGCCATATGAAGTTGAAGGCTGAGATCAGTGTGATGCAAGCCAAGGAATACCAAAGACTACTAGCAAACACTGAAGCTAGGAGAGGGGCAGGAAACAGATTATTCCTTAGAGCCCTTAGAAAGAACCAAATGCTGCCAATACCTGGACTTCAAGAAATGTGACAACTGACTTCTATTATTTAAGCTGCTCAGTTTGTGTGCACACAGCTCTAGCAAACTAATATGCTCACTGATACTCTATGTTCACTTCTACAGTCTGGCTATGGGAGACCTGTGCTTATCCAAGAAACTGAACTGCTGGACACACTTAGTAGCTAAGACTAATCAGATAGAATAGGATCACCTAGAGGAGTGTACTAGGGGGATGCTGGGAGTCAGGGACTTGCCTCTGGAGCTGCCTTTATTTGAGCCAGGTAATAAAAGCCATCTGGTTCCCTTCTAGCCAGGACCCAAGTGTCAGTGGCACCTCCAACTCTTCCCAGGCAGCCAGGCCCCTGCCATGCTGGGTCAGCAATGTGGAGATACTGGTGATAAGAAGAATACCTGGAAAAAAGCAAATTTAGGGGGGTGAACAACAACCTCCAAAACATTAAGGACCACTTTTCACAGATCTGAGGAATGCCAAGGCGTGTGAATTCACATTAGTGTATGTGGAATAGTAATCCATGTGGAATGTGGCTATCTATGACTTCTAGTAAGATAAGGTAAGCTTTTTGTGAAGGGAACCATAATTTTTAAATTGGAAATAGTTACAAGATAACCAAAACATAATTATCCTTGATATATTCAAATTAATTAATGTTTGTTCTGAAACTAAAAAAAAAAAAAAAAAAAAAAGACCAGAAAAGGGTACCATGAGGTAAACCCTAAAGCTATATATGAGATTTCAGAATGAGGAAAGGAAGTGTAGACTGCAGTGCCAAAGGAGCAAAGTTGTAAAGCACTTGGCATTAGGGGCTCAGAAGGATAAATTAGTGCAGGAGCAGAGGCAGCACAGAGGAGCTGCCTAAGGTGCTGTGGTGCAGAAAAGGAGAGGCCAGTTCTGGGGAATTGGGTGGGCAGGGCCAGCTGGTATGGGGGAGCTGTTGCCTGAGGGTTAAAGTTTTTAAAGAAACTGTTTTGTAGACAACATTGAACACAAAGATGCTTAATTTGGACTTAAACAGGATGGTAGAAACAGGTGAATCGAAAAAAGGAGCCCTAAAAGTCTGTTTCTAACCCAGGCAGACTAATAATGTTCAGTAGCATGGACTGATCCCTGGAATTTACACAATTTGTAACTGCTATAGGCTGAGGTTGCTTGGCCCCTTTGTAGTCACACTTTAAACAAATGACTGAGGATATTATTCAGAAAAATCCTGAACAGTCGAGGATTTTCAATTGTCTTATAAGCCCCTTAGCTGTGTGTTCAGTTAATCTCTGCACTTCAGTTACTGCTCAGCAGATAAACACGGAAAGTGCCTTGCATATAAGTAGCTCAATGTATGTTAGTGTTTTCCTCCTTCCTCCAACCCAGAGGTGGGACTTCTGGGAGTAAACCTGTTTTTTCCTTCACAAAACCTAACCCTGATGGCAATTGAAATTCATATAGGATGAATACTGAGGGGATCTGGGGAGAACCTACATATACCACCTTAGTTGTTGGTTTTAGAAATTCTAAGTCTCATTGCCACAGCAAGTCTTATAGTTGATGGCAAAATGAGTTAGAAATTTTGGAACTGGTCATTGCTGAAAGCCTTCTCTCACAGATGCCAATTGTGAAAGCCACAATTAGAGTAAGAAGCCACTAAGGTAAAGCCCAGGGAAGGACAAAAGCCAGGCAACCTGGGTCACTGGTAGTACCACTTAGGCCAGGGTAATATAGACTTATACCCCACACAACAGGCCAAACAGTAAAGAGCCCTGTCAGCCTACACAGAAAGCAAGTGCTCTCCTCATGAGACTCCATCTAGAACTAAGAACAAAGGGAAAAGAAAACAACCACCACTCCCTCCAGAGTTGCTGATGATGGTACCTTGTGAAAGCATGGTGCCTGGGGATGTAGGGTGCTCGGAGGGCAAAGGGGCAGGTGAAGGAGAGATCCCAGAATGGAGCAGCACAGTTCCAGCCAGGGGTCTTCAGTGTTGTGGCCACACTGCAGTATTTGGGCAAAGGCATTCCAAGCTGGGTAGAGTATTGCATGGCCTTCCGAGAGACCACCTGGAACAAGCACCAGTGTTACTAGAGCTATAGCCCACAGCCCAGCAAAGGGCACCTGGGGGGGGGGGACGACTCACCTCCAGATTAGCTATCTCAGGGACAGCTGCATCCTTGTCCCTCCCTTACCCACAAGACACCCAGTTCTTCTTTGGATCATCTGTCTCAGAAACCTCAGCTCAGGAGACAGGAGGGGTTGTAAGAGCAGGAATTGTGGTTTTAGAGAAATCAGCTTTAAATCCTTAGGCTGGGTGCTCACTTAACCTCTGCAGACATGGAAAGCAGCTGACTATAAGCTCAGTATGTTTTTTCTTTCTTTTTTCTCCCCAGTGGCAGGGATAAGCCCACTCTTCTCTTCACAAACTCCAACCCTGATGACAAACTACCCCAACCCCAGCCCAAAACTCCCCTCCTAACCTGGCTACCTGTTGGAGCTGAGTTCTCAGGGTCAGAGCCACAGTTGCCACTCAGGACTCAAGATCAAACTTAGCTGCTTCAGCCCACCAGAGCCCTGTTAGACTCTGTCCTGCCCTTTATAAGTTTTAACTCCAAAGGGACTTACTCACAGCTTGAAACCCAGCCTCTGCCTCAGTCTCAGATACTTTCTGACAGTTGGGGCCCAGTGCTTTAGCCCAACTGACTCTTGGTTGCCCAGCAGGTTGCCATGGATGCATCTGCAAGGAATGCTGTAGGCCAGTAAGAGCACTGAGCATGTGCAGAGGGATGAAGGAAGGCCATAGGAGATAGGGAAGAGGAAAGAAGGCTTATTCTCAATCTTTGTCTTTGAGGATAGGGAAAAGAGAGGAGGAGTGAAAGACATTGTGACCCCAATTTCCAAAAGCTCGGGCTTCACTATTGCCAGAAAAGTCTGTCACTCACAGTGGGAAGCCCCCACGGATCCAGGGGAGTCATGTGAGGAGGGAGCTGACCCCTAAAGAGACTCAGTGCTTTTGATCTAACTCTACCCTAAACAGAAAGGAGGCTGGGGTGGGGGAAGCCACTGGCTGGCCTAAGGACTCCAAGAATTTTTCAAGGTTTAAAACAAAATAACCAAAGGTGTGGTTATGCTTGAAACAGACAGGACTTTACTGAAGAGCAGAGGTGTGGTAACCATTAGGAATACAGGGAGTGGACACTGGTGACCAAAGGAACAGAAGTCTAGATTCTGCTCTTGTTTGAATATCCAAGGAAGAGGCTGGTATTTTGAGGAATCTCACAGTTACTGTGCACTGATGGTGTCTGGCCCTGTGTTGAGTAGCTAAAAAATATGTAGGGAATTCGTGGATATCTCCCCTATATCCATTCCCTCCTTCCATGGGTTCTTGTTTCCGTCTGCAGATCCCTATACACAGAGAAGTAGACTGTACTCCCAGCTCCAGGTGTGTCAGCACATTCATGTTCCTGGTCACAGGGGTTCATTAGGCATGGTATGTTCCTCTCCAATCAGAAGGGATCTCAAGTCTTTTTTTCTGGGAATCCTGGGTTATAGACTTTTTCTTTCTTCCTGTGTACAAATAAGAAGGCATATGATAGCCTTTTGGGGACACCAAAGCTATTTCCAGGAAAAGTCAGAATAGACCTTTAAAAAATAGGTCCTTGGTGACAATGTTGAGTCCTTCAGTTATATGAGCCTATAAAGTCCCTTTCTTGGTTACGCCAATCTAGACTGGGTTTTTTCTTGCTTGTAATAACCCAAATTATCTTAAGCGATGATTGCACACAACACATAATTTTGTAGTTACAAGAAAAACTGTAGCCCAGACCATATACTTTAAAGGCTGAATTACTTGGCACATAGAGTCTAAAAAAGACTGATGAAGGCTGCCATTGAGGGGAGTCCTGAATTAGACAATGGAATTTCAATGGTGGAGAGGGAAAGGAGAATAATCTAGATTAGGTAGGAGGCAAGAACAAAGCAAATAATACGCTTGAAAGACTGTGGTTTGCTTTAACTTTCAAGAAATTTTCAAATTTTTTTAAAGTTGTCAATAGACCTTTATATATTTATATGTGGTGCTGAGAATTGAACCCAGTGCCTCACACCTGCTAGGCAAGTGCTCTACAACTGTGCTACAACCCCAGCCCTGTGGTTTTCTTCTGACAGGGTATGTGTCCTGTCCCATTTGGGATGGGAATAGACTGTAGTGAGCTTTGAAAAGCAAATGGATACATTTAAACAAGAATTTAAAAAGAAGCCATCAAACAGTTGGAGCAACAAAGTAACCTGAAACTCTGTAAGACATCAGAGTGAGGGCAGAACCAGTTGGAAACACAAGCCTAGGAGACCAGAGAAGCCATAGTTAACAAAGATTCAGATGCAAGGTAACAGGATTGGAATAGAAAAATAGTAACAACATATATTTATGGATACCTACCTGAGTTGAGGCTCTTTATAAGGAAAATACAATGAATATGATTGTTATCTATCTACTGAAAATACAGAGATAAGTGCATAATGATAAAAGGAGAGGAACTATAAGAGAAGTTTGTATACAAAATGAAGATGCAACTAATGGCAGGGAATGGAAGTTGAGAAAGAATTCAGACATGGCAGTGAAGATAAGTGTGACAGTGTGAGGGAAGTCTTGACTGTGCTTGGTGACAGATGGGACCTGGGAGTTAAGAGGGAAAGAAGCTGGGTTGGGGTTGTGGCTCAGTAGTAGAGCGCTAGCTTGCCTAGCATATGTGAGGTACTGGGTTTGATCCTTAGTACCACATAAAAAGAAATAAAGGTATTGTGTCTATTTACAACTAAAAAATAATAATTAAAAAAAAAGAGGGATGGAAGCACTGAAGCTAGCCTTGAGTAGAAATGGAGACATTTTGAAGGCAATCTCTAAGATACAGGCCAGGGACTCTCCTTCCCAAGGGTGAAGGAAAGGCCTGGCAGCTGAAAGTTTTCTGGGCTGGAGGATGGTAATACTATGGACAAAACAAGATAAAAATAATAATGATGATAGAAAACAATGGTTATGGATATGTACTCAGTGTTAGGCACAGTTAATCCTCATAATAAACACAGGGGTGTTGCTGTTGTTATTCATACACTGCAGATGAAGAACCAAGATCTAGAATGAAAGCAGGAGTGAAATTTGAAACTGAGGCAGTTAGTGTCCAGAGACTGCCTTCTGAAGCTCTGTACTAAGCTTCCTAAGGAAATCTAAGTGCAGGAAAAAGATAAATCTGAAATCTTTTCAAAGGACAAAAAGTTTTATAGACTACTTTTGTTTTTACTCTGAGATGTTTTCTCATTGTGACTTCTTGTCAACACCAAATAAATAAGAACCACCAAACATCTGACAAATCAAGGCAGATTCATTGTGACAGCTTAGCACACAGTAGCTGCAAGATATACCTCTAGCATTGAGTAGTCACTCGTTACTTTTCATGCTTTTGTGAGAGCTTCTGACACCTGAGAAGTGGGCCAAGTGTGTGAGAAGGGCAGGGTGAAAAGTACAGAGGTTCCTGGGAAATCCATTCTGTTCTACTAGAGCTCTTGAAAGAAATGAGCAAAGCATTTTATCAGTCTACATAAGATAATGTATTATTAATACCCAGCATAGGTTAGTATGGGAACTGTATCTGCCCACACAGAAATTACATATAGAAAAAAACTATTGAAGGATGCTGTCAGAGATCTTATTTTGTGAAATTATCTGTCTCTATTTTGAAATGCTGATTCAAACAATTCTAAAAATAGGGTCAGCATGGTGACTGGTGGTTGCCATTAGGGAGGAGTCTTTTCTGGCATTATTCTTGGTCTCGGGTTTATCAGGGCACAAAAGTGACTGCAGGTAGTTAATGTACTTGATTGCGGCTCTAAGGGTTTCCACTTTGCTTAGTCGTTTCTCCAGATACTCCTCTGGCAGATGATGTCGTAGTTGGGCATAGCCTTCGTTGACACACTTTACCCGTTGCCTTTCCCGCTCATTCCGTTTCCGGATAAAGGCTGGCCCATAGGAGTATTCACACCTTCTGTAATTTGGATAAGGCATTGGGAATGTGAAGGAGCAGGGTTCACCATAATTTTCCATGATCAGGGAGTCACTGGAAAATGGCAGCAATGGCAGCTCTTCAGAGTAAGGAGATGGCACTGGGGCCTCAGGACACAGGTGGAAAGTGACCATGGGGTCCAGATAGAAGGACCTGGGCAGCGGCAAGTGGGCAGAATCAGAGAAGACAGGAAATTTGTCTGGTGAATTAGAGTAGCTTCTATTGTCGGTCATTTTGTCTTTAACCTAGAAATATAACCATGTTTATTATTTGGCCAGATTAAAAACAGAGCAAGGTTTGTATTCTTAGAGATCAGTGTTTTGAAGTCTTCTATTCAGATTACTAGTTTCTAAGCTCATTTGGGAAAGCACTAAAAAAAAAAAGAAAGAAAGAAAGAAAGAAAGGAAGAAAAACTAAAAATGAGATAGATGTAGACCTATTCAGGAAGAGGGAATATACTGGTGTGGGACCCCCTTGGAGTATAATACTTTATCCTTGTGCTCCATGGGATGCAGTGGGAGGGGACACAAAATCTGAATATAGATGCACTTTACTCAATTAAGTTCTGTGTTTTAAATGTGTGAGGGAGTTTCTTTAAAAAAATTTATAGTAAATATTTAAGAACAAATGATTCCTTTCTTATTTTTATTTTGTTTTGCCCCTGGAATATCAGGTATTACTTAAGAAGCCTATGCCTGTGAGGATGCATGATCATTAACTAGTTTGTAATTTTTCCCAACATGTATTTGAATATTGTGGTTTCAGTATTTCCTAAACTTCAGTTATTTGCATATACCATAGTGATAAAAAGTACATTTGTGTTTCGCTTGTACTATTACTTATTTTTAAAAAAACACTTAACATTTTTTTACTCAATCAGATTTAATTATTTATTGCAGTACTGGAGGATTGAATCCAGGGCCTCCCACATGCAAGGCAAGTATTCTACCACAAGCTAAATCTTCAGCCCCTCAAAAGGATTTATTTTTACTTTTTTTTTTTTTGAGAATTTTAATATTTATTTTTAGTTTTCAGCAGACACAACATTTTTGTTTGTATGTGGTGCTGAGGATCGAACCCCGGCCGCATGCCTGCCAGGTGAGCGCACTACCGCTTGAGCCACATCCCCAGCCTAAGGATTTATTTTTAAAAGAAACTTTATAACCCTACTGTAAATGTGAAATCAGTATAATTCACAATAAATAGCATTTAACAATACAAATATTAAATTCAGGCTAGATATTATTCTTGTTGTATGAGGGAGATTAGAAGGCATTCTAGTGATGTGGAAGACATGTTTGCACCAGATTAAGACTATAATTTGAGGTCACAAGGATTGAAAGAGAATTGGAATGGGAACAACTTTCTCACCAGTGAGTCAATATTATTTAGTGGTTTTTTTTTTTTTGTAGCATCAAAAATCCTCACTTACTAATCACAGTTATAATCCCATCTACTTTCTCCTCAATGCTGGGGAATTAAACTCGGGGCTTTGTGCTGAAGAAGCAAGCTCTCTACCATTAAGCTATACCCTAAATCCCTACCTCATTTTACAACATCTATTGATTTTTTTGCATTTAACTATAATATGGTAGCTATTAGAGGTTTTTAAGGGGCATTGTAGTTTAAGTAGTTAACTAGGAGGCAGGCAGATGCTGTCTCAAAAAAATTTTTTAAATACTTTTTAGTTGTAAATGGATCTTTTATTTTATTTATTTATATGTGGTGCTGAGGATCTAACCCAGGGCCTCACACATGCCAGGCAAATGCTCTATCACTGAGCCACAACTTCAGCCCTTTTTTGTTTTTTTAAAGGCAGCGCTGGGAATGTAGCTCAGAGGAGAGCACTTGTCTAGAATATGCAAGGTTCTGGATGGGGGAGAAGGATGAGTGAGAAGGGTTATAAGTCATGGTGAAAAAGGCTGGAAAAGGAGTCAATGCCAGGAAACACTCTTTCTACAAAAGGGAGTGAGGGAGGATGAGATAAGTGAGATATATTCAATTAAAAATTGAGACAGAGGAACAGGAAATGAAAGAGTCCAAATTACTGACCAAATGACCTCAAATAACTAACATAAAACAAAAATCTCTGGAAGATTAACAACTAGCCAAGATTCTGTCAAATAGAAAAAGTTGCTGAGAGAAACTAGTTGGGAAATTCCTAAGCTAGGAATCTAGAGGGCAAGATGAACATGTATGGCAGAAGCTACAAAATGATGGCAAATGGATGTGGAGACTGCACAACTATAGTTCTGACAACACTCTTTTATTACTTTTTTAAAGATTTTTTTTTAATGTGGACACAAATCTTTATTTATTTATTTTTATGTGGTGCTGAGGACTGAACCCAGTGCCTCACACCGCTGAGCTATAATCCCAGCCTTAACATTCTTATTTTTGTGTACAGCTAACAAACCAGAATTTATTAACTATAACAGGCTCCTCCTAAAAGTAAAGCAGATATCAAAGTTAATTATGCAAAATTACATTTTTGGATATGATTTTACTCTGAAGCATAACTGAAATAACATCTTAAATCTTGATTCAGATGAAATCTGAGTAATTGGTATATACTACAGATAATTAAAAGTTTCTAGGGCTGGGGATGTGGCTCAAGTGGTAGCGCGCTGGCCTGGCATGTGTGTGGCCCGGGTTCAATCCTCAGCACCACACACAAACAAAGATGTTGTGTCCACCAAAAACTAAAAAATAAATATTAAAAAATTCTCTCTCTCTCTTTAAAAAAAAGTTTCTAGGTTGTTGTGTAATTCTTAGAAAAAAAGTATCTGGGGACATATTGATAAAGAAGCTTTTCTTTTTTAATTGAGCATTTCTAATAAGTCCACCAATCAATGTAGTGCCATCTAAATATGATCACCTTCCGTTCAAAGAGGACATTTTAGCCATAAACAACAGAGTGTGAAAAAAATGCAGCAGTGAGGAGAATTAAGATAGGAAGCCTAGTAGAGACTCTACTAGGCTAGATGTGTTTGTAGGAATCAAGTACAAGTTTATCTTAAAGGAAGGCAGCATGGATTGTTAGTGCCGGGGCTCCATGATTACAAACACATGACCAACTAACAAATACACCTATCTTGGGAAAATCTTGGGTTTCTATCTTAGAGCCCTTCTGGGATATAAATGATGAGCTCTTAATAATAAAATCCTAAGAGATTCCAGATGCTCTGCTGAACTTTATAAAAGCTTCTGTTTTCATAGATTAGAAAAAAAAATGGCAGGTAAAAAACCACATACAATTGAATTATAGAATATCAGAGCTTGGAGGAAGCTTAGAAACCCTCTTTTCCCACCCCTCAGAGGTTGTAAAAGTTGCTAAGTTTGCAAAGGTAGTAGCACAAAATACTTCCCACTCCTCTACGTTATTTAGGCACTAGATCTTTTGTAACATGGAGAATAATTTGTATTTTAAGATAATGGAATAATAAGATTGACAAAATGTATAATTTAAAAACAGTATCTAGGGACTTTCTTAAAAATCAGGTTCTTATTTTCTCCTATGGGTCACTCTGGAGAAGTGTCTCTTACCTGAGTTTTGTCGCTCAAGATGTTGTATTTTGGGCTGAGTCAGATTTAACCTGATTTATAGGTGGTCATTTAGTAACAATATGCAAAGTAGTTTACAGTTAAACAGAACTGCTTGGTTCTGGTTTAGCTGTTTTTCTACCTAATATGTAGGCATGACAACACCTGACAATACTAAAAAGAAAGGTTTGCTTTCAAAACTGGACACTTGTAACAAATTCTTTTGTTTAAAGAATGCCCCTGCATTTCATCTGGGATATATGATTTTATATCAAAATTATTTATGGAAAAGATCTTTAGTCTCATAATGTGCAAATATTGGTTAATATTCTTTTAGAGATTTATGCCAGAACTAGGAGGGTCAATAAGAACTTATATCTTTTGTGTGTGTGTGTGTGGTGGGTGAATGTGTTATATTGGAGATTGAACATGGGACGCTCTACCATTGAGATAAATTTCCAGTTCTCTCTCTCTTTTTTTTTTTTTTGATACCGGGGATTGACTCCAGGGGTGCTTAACCACTGAGCCACATCCCCAGCATTTTGTGTGTGTGTGTGTGTGTGTATTTTTTAATATTTATTTTTTAGTTGTAGTTGGACACAATACCTTTATTTATTTGTTTTTATGTGTTGCTAAGGATCCATCCCCAGGGCCTTACATGTGCTAGGTGAGCGTTCTACCACTGAGCCACAACCCTAGCATGTACAGAGTCTCAATGTCTCACTGAGTTGCTACAGGTCTCACTAAGTTGCTGAGGCTGGCCTTGAACTTTCAATCCTCCTGCATCAGCCTCCCAAGATACTGGGATTATAGGCATCCACCAGAGTGTCTTACTGCCATCTTCAGTTCTTTTTTTTACTTTTTATTTTAAGGTAGGGTCTTGCTAAGTTGCCCTGGCTAGTCTAAAACTTGGGATCCTCCTGCCTCAGCCTTCTGAATTACTGGGATTACAAGCATTCACCACCATGCTCAGCATTACATCTTTTAAAAAATACTCATTTTTTCTTATTTTTGGAGCAGTTTTAGGTTCACAGTAAAACTGGGCAGAAAGCACATAGTTCCCATATACTCCCTGCCCCTACATACGTACTGTCTCCTTTACTATCAATATCCTGCACCCTAGTGGTACCCTTCTTACAACTGATGAACCTATACACCATTATCACCCAAAGTCTATAGTTTATATTTATATTCTATGGGTTTGACAAATGTATATTGGTGTATATCTACCAATACAATATCATATACACAATAGTTTCACTGCCTTAAACATCCTTTATGTTCTGCCTATTTATCTTTCCCTTCTCTTTAACCCCTACAACCACTGATCTTCTTACTATTTCTATGGTTTTGTCTTTTCCAGAATGTCATATAATTGGAATCATTCCGTATATAGGCTTTTCAGATTGGCTTCTTTCACTTAGTAATAGAATTTAAGGTTCTTCCACATCTTTTCATAGCTGGAAAGCTCAAAAGCTGCTATAAACATCCATGTGCAGGTTTTCAAACGGACATAAGATTTCAATTCATTTGGCTAATTACCAAAGATCACAATTGCTAGATCATATAGTGTAGTTTTGTAAACCACCAAACTCTTCAAAATTGCTGTATCATTTTGCATTACCACCAGCAATAAATAAGAGTTCTTGTTGTTCTACATTCTGTATTTGGAATTAGTGTTCTGGATTTTGGCCATTTTAATAGATGTATAGTGGTAGTAAAGGGGACTGAACTCACAGGGGCTCTACTACTAAGCTACATTCCAGCCCATTTCTTTCTTTCTTTTTTTTTTTTTTCCCCAGGGAGGGGAGTACTAGATATTGAACTCAGGAGAACTCAGCCACTGAGCCACATCCCCAGCCCTTTTAAAATATTTTATTTAGAGACAGGGTCTCACTGAGTTGCTTAGTGCCTCACTTAGTTGCTGAGGTTAGCTTTGAACTTGTGATCCTCCTGCCTCAGCCTCCTGAGTAGCTAAGATTACAGGATGTGCCACGTCTGGATTCATTGTTGTTTTTTCATATTTCCTCAATGACATATGATGTAGAGCATCTTTTAGATATATTTGCCATCTGTATTTCTTCTCTGGTGAGATGCCTGTTTAAGATTTTTGCCAAATTAGATTTTTCCTTTTTTGTTGAGTTTTTAAGTGTTTTTGTATATTTTGAATAATCAAAAATATGCTTTTTGCAAATATTTTCCCCTGGTCTGTGGCCTACCTTCTTATTCTCTTGACAATATCTTTTGTAGAAGTTTTACATTTTAATGAAGTTCAGCTTCACAATTATTTCTTTCAAGGATCATGCCATTAGAGTTTTATCTAAGAAGGCATCACCATCTAGATTTTCTCCTAGGTTATTTCTAGAAATTTTATATTTTTGCATTTTACTTGTAGGCCTATGGTGCGTTTTGAGTTAATTTTTAGGAAGATTATAAAGTCTATGTCTAGATTATTTTTTATCTTTTTGTATGCAGATGTTGTTTGTTCTGGCATCATTTGTTGAAAAGATTATCTTTTTCTCCATTTTGCTTTTTTGTGAAAGATCTATTCATCTACTTTATGTCAATACCATACAGTCTTGATTACTGTAGCTTTATAGTTAAGTCTTGAAGTTGGGTAGTGTCAGTCTTCAGACTTTGTAGTGTCCTTTAATATTTTTAAAAAATATTCATTTTTTAGTTATAGGTGGACACAATATCTTTATTTTATTTTCATGTGGTTCTGAGGATCAAACCCAGTGACTCATGCATGCTAGGCAGCACTCTACTTCTGAGTCACAACCCCAGCCCTCTCCTTTAATATTTTGTGGCTCTTCTGGTCATCTTTCTAAATAAACGTTAAAATCAGTTTGTCAATATCTACAAAGTAACTTTCTGGGATCTTGATTGGGATTGCATTGAATCTACAGGTCAAGGTGGCAAGAACAGACACTTTGACAATACCAAGCCTTACTATCAGTGAGTATGGACTATCCCTCACTTATTCAATTTTTTGACTTCTTTATCAGGGTTTTGTAATTTTTCTCCTAAATCTTATGCATATTTTGTTAGAGTTATGCTTAAAATGCTATTTTTTAGGGTTGCTAATGTAAATTTTCTTGTGTTTTTAATTTCAAATTCGTCTTGTTCATTATTTGCATATAGAAAAGCAATTGACTTTTGCATATTAGCCTTGTATCCTGCAACCTTACTATAATCATTTATTAGTTCCAGGATTTTTTGTTATTGTTGATTCTTTTGGGGTTTCAACAGACAATCATGTATGTCATCTATAAACAAAGATGATTTTATTTCTTCCTTTTCAATCTGTATAACTTTTATTTCTTTTTCATGTCTTCATGCATTAGCTAGGACTCCAGTATAATGTTGAAAAGAAATGGTGAGAAATGACATCCTTGCCTTGTTCCTGTTCTTAGTGGGAAAACTTCTAGTTTCTCATTATTAAATACAATGTTTGTACATTTTTTTTTTTTTTGGTATACATTCTCTATCTGGTTTAGGAAGTTCCCCTCTCTTCCTAGTTTGATTGATTGTGGTACTGGAGATTAAACCCAGGGTGTGCTGGGCCACATCCCTATCCCTTTTTATTTTTTAATTTTAAAAAATTAATTAACTTATTTTAATTAGGTATATATAACAGAAGAATGCGTTTTGATTCATTGTACACAACTGCAGCACAAATTTTCATTTCTCTGGTTGTACACAATGCAGTGTTGCACCATATGTGCAGTCATACATGTACCTAGGGTAATTATATCCATCTCATTCCACAATCTTTTCTGCCCTCGTGCCCCCTTTCCTTTTTATCTTGAGACAGGGTCTCATTAAAGTGCCGAGACTGGCCTCAAACTTCTGACCCTCCTGTTTCAGTCTCCCAAGTTGCTGGGTTACAGACATGTGCCATCATGCCTGGAGAGAGTTTTTATTATGAAAGGGTGTTGGATTTTGTCCAATTCTTTTTTGGTGTCCACTGATAGGATCATCTGGTTTTCTTCTTTAAAAGTGATAGATTATATTATTTTAAAATGTTGAACTAGTCTTTTTTTAAATTTTTTTTATTGGTTGTTCAAAACATTACAAAGATTGCAGAATCACATCGGTTACACATCCACATTTTTACATAATGCCATATTAGTAACTGTTGTATTCTGCTACCTTTCCTATCCTCTACTATCCCCCCT